ACACAGAGGGGCAGAGGAGAGAGAGGAGGACAGAGAGGGGCAGAGGGGAGAGAGGAGGACAGAGAGGGGCAGAGGGGAGAGAGAGGGACAGAGAGGGGCAGAGGAGAGAGAGAGGAGGACAGAGAGGGGCAGAGGAGAGAGAGACAGAGGACAGAGGGGCAGAGGAGGAGGGAGGACAGAGAGGGGCAGAGGAGAGAGAGGAGGACAGAGAGGGGCAGAGAGAGAGAGAGAGGAGAGACAGAGAGGGGCAGAGGAGAGAGAGGAGGACAGAGAGGAGCAGAGAGAGAGAGAGAGGAGGACAGAGAGGAGCAGAGGGGAGAGAGGAGGACAGAGAGGGGCAGAGGGGAGAGAGAGGAGGACACAGAGGGGCAGAGGAGAGAGAGGAGGACAGAGAGGGGCAGAGGGGAGAGAGGAGGACAGAGAGGGGCAGAGGAGAGAGAGAGGAGGACAGAGAGGGGCAGAGAGAGAGAGAGGAGAGACAGAGAGGGGCAGAGGGAGGAGAGAGGAGAACAGAGAGGGGCAGAGGGGAGAGAGAGGACAGAGAGGGAGAGGAGAGAGAGGAGGACAGAGAGGGCAGAGGAGAGAGAGGAGGACAGAGAGGGGCAGAGGAGAGAGAGGAGGACAGAGAGGGGCAGAGGGAGAGGAGAGAGGACAGAGAGAGGGGCAGAGGGAGAGAGAGGAGGACAGAGAGGGGCAGGGGAGAGAGAGGAGGACAGAGAGGGGCAGAGGAGAGAGAGAGAGAGGAGAGAGAGAGAGGAGAGCAGAGAGGAGAGAGAGAGAGGAGGACAGAGAGGGGCAGAGGAGAGAGAGGAGGACAGAGAGGGGCAGAGGAGAGAGAGGAGGACAGAGAGGGGCAGAGAGAGAGAGAGGAGACAGAGAGGGCAGAGGAGAGAGAGGAGGACAGAGAGGGGCAGAGGGGAGAGAGAGAAGGAGGCATAGGAGCAGAGGGGAGAGAGAAAACTGATAGATTTATTTAAACCTCAAACCATTCTTGCAAAGCAATGACATCTCCCTGGAGACACACCCACCACCAGAAAAGTGACACAGTGTGGCTTTAACTAAAGCTGACATTGTGTGGGGGGGTGTGTGGCAGAGCGAGCAGATAGAAGAGCTTCCTCTACTGCCCCCTGCTGGGAGAAAATAGAATGCTGCATTTATTGATTGATTGATTTTTATGCTGAGATGATTTGAAGTTTTGGTCCTTCCTGTTTTAAAGAAGAAGTCCTCCTGTACTTATGTCTGCTCTGTTATAATCTCAGACTCCCTTGCAGACTTGTGTGATCATTTGCACATTTGACTGTAAATCTCAATTGACTTCTAAAATGACTTAATAAAAGAAACAAGTCCTCTGACCTTCCACGTCAGAAAACTGTGGTGTCCAATGGGAGCTGACATGCTGCACGCTGTGGGCCCCTTCTATGGATAGAACCAAACCAGGACTAAACCAGAAGTAAACCAGGACTAAACCAGGACTAAATCAGGCTGTGGGCCCCTACTCCTGCTGCACGTCACACTAGAGCAGAGTTCTTTCTGCATTTGGACCAAAATGACGATGCGATGCTGCCCAATCCTACGAGTATCACCCATGAAGAACATCAAAGCAGTTGCTATTGCTACTACTACTACTACTACTACTACTACTACTACTACTACTACTACTACTACTACTACTACTACTACTGCTGCACATGCTAAATGTACTACAGCATATACCACACATGCTCCTGCTACTACTAGCAGTACCGAAATTATCTTTGAAATATTAGTGACAACACAAGATGCTATTATATAAACACAATTCTCAGTCCCTGTTTGTCCTTGTACTGCATCAAGTACCTGGCAAATCCAGACTCAGACTTCTCTGTATTTTAATATCAGAGATGTGTACTCAGTCACATTTACTCTCGATAAGTAACCTTTTAAGGAAATTGTACTTTTCTAGCAGCATACTTACTTGCTTATTGAAGAAACAGTATCATTACTTGAGTAAAAGTAAAGTCTAAAGTGACAAAAGCGTTATGTGATATGATGAAATAATTTGAACATTTGTGTTTCTTGCAGCTCCTTCAGATATGATTTAGTTTGTCTCATTTTTGTGTCTGTTTTGTGCATTATTTCATATTTTGTCCTTCAAATTACATTCACTTTAAATTGTAAATCAGATGTTACCTTGCAACAGTTACTCTTTAAGATTGCTAAAGTAGCAGTCTCTCCAAATACTTTTTTACTCTTACTTGAGTAATTCAATGTACCACTACTTTGTATGTCTACTTGAGTAATATTATTTTGAGGAAGAGTTACTTTTTTGGCTAATCACTTCTGTTTAATACAGAGGACCACTGCTCCCTCTGAACCAAACACAACAGTCCAGTCAGATTTGTTTATTTCAATGACACATGTGAAACAAAGGAGCTCATTTGTCAACATCATTTTGAATAAAATGACACTCTTCTTCCCTCAGATGAGCACAGTGCTTTACTCATTCATTCGGCAGGAATCTCTCATGTTTTATAAGCAGACCTGAACGTTTGTGTTTCTTGCAGCGCTGTTTCACATTTTTGTGTCTTTCCTTTGACAACATCATGTACCATTTGTGTAATAAAGCAGCATGGTGGCTGAGTGGCTAACACTCACGCTTCACAGCAAGAAGGTTCCAGGTCTGATCCCCAGGTCGCCCGGGCCTTTCTGTGTGGAGTTTGCATGTTCTCCCCATGTCTGTGTGGGTTTCCGGTTTCCCCCATCAACCCAAAACATGCACCATTGGTAAAATCCTCCAGCTAAGGTGTTAACCAAGTGGAGATGGGTCCTCGGGGCCCATGTGCTGTCCACTGCTCCAGAAAGGATGGGTCAAATGCAGAGGACAATTTCCCTACAGAGATAATAAAGTATCACAAAACAAAAAAGTACTACAAAAAAAACAAAAAAAACCCAAAAAAACCTAAAATATGCAATTGCATTACACATATGTCCTTCGTGGTTTCTTGATGCATACTAATAATTACATAGATAACAATAGTACTGAAGGCTCAGCTGCATAAACAAGGTGTAGGAGTAGAAACAAACAGATCACAAATAGCCCTGTTTGTACAAAGAGAATGTCAAATACAGTCCCATATACAAATATTACTAAAATATATGGTCTAGCATTCTCTAATTTGACTCCAAAATGAATCCGTATACAAACAATTAATATGAGGGAAAATAAATATAGGCCAGCTGATTTGCATGAAAAGTCTGCACGCTACTGACTTAATATGTTGTCCTTCACATTACATTTCAATTATAAATCAGATGTGATGTTCTGATAATTATTATTTTTATTATTTTTTTTACTCTTACTTGAGTAATTTCATGGACCTACTTGAGTCCAGTTCTGAAGATGGCTTGCAGCTAGCACCCGAAACCTGTCAACAAGGTAAATACACTTTATTGTATTGTTAAGAACCCAAGAAATTAAAAGACCTACATCAGTAAGTAACATTACTTCTGTACAATTTTGGCTACTCGACCCACTTCAGTTACACAACAAGCTTTTTAACTCTCAGTTTTACAACATGTTTACGAAATGAGCTGTAAATGTCTCATAAAAGAGACTGGATCTCTGACCCCAAATCTCACCGTCGTGTGGATTTGAGGGGCTCACGTATAAAGGGCTCGTTCTGTTTACTTACGTGAATGGAGGGGATGGGGCGGGGTTTAACATAGCCTAGTCCAATAGAAACCCACAACGCTTTTGAGTGACGTGCAAACTCACCAATGACAGCAGTGCACAACTGGACATACGCGACCACCACAAACGCGACCCTTTCGTAGATTTAATAACGAACTGTCGTTTTGCTGCACGTTTTTGGCACGAGCGCCTGTGCACTTTGTGGCCCGTACGCCGCTTCGCGGTTCTATAGTGTTTGGGAACGGAAAAGACCACTTCCCCGGAAAGAGGCTTCGTCCCCGTTTGCTCTTGAAGTTGAGTGGTGAGTCCGTATTGTTGGAGCCAAAGGAGCTCGCTTTGCCCCAAACGTTTGGAAATCTCGCCTGTATGAAGTTTATAACTTCTGTGCACAGATGGTTACTCTCTCATTTACGTTGAGTTACTGGTTCGGGCATGTGCCGAGGCAAACAGGTTAGTAAATTACATAAAGACACGTAAGGCTCGTGGCATATCATAAAGACATCTCTAAAACCTCCGTACTGTTGACGGCCCTTTTTCACTCAGCGTGTAGTGTACACTGTGTACAGTGTGATCACGGTGATTTTTGCCACAACTGTTGATTCTGCGTGTTGAAACCTGCGGCTCTAGTCTCGGAAGAGCGTGGCCACGCAGGCGGCTCCTCTCTGGGTCCCGGGCCAGTGCACTGTGCAGCAGGAGTGTGTGTGTGTGTTTGTGTGTGTGTGTTTGTGAGTGTGTGTGCGTGTGTGTGCAGGGGGCAGGGTCTTCGGATGTTTGTTCAAGAGATGCATTCAGGAGCGTCCCTCGTGCTCCGTTTCTACATTACTATAATGATGTAACTCACTGCCGTACGGTACGTGACAGAAACGAGTCACACGGGGCGTGTTTTGTTTGTTTTTGCATCTTATCGAAGCTGGATAAATACGTGTAGGCCTTTTACGTTGAATTATTTCTAAATACAGTGTCTGACACACTACTGGACATGCTCCTGAAGACAAACTTGTGTGCTGTGTAGTGTATATTCCCACATTCAGAGCGGGCCTGAACGCGACCCAGCCCACGTGACAGAGCTCTCTAACGTTAGCACTCGGTGGCTAACGAGGCGAGCTAAAGAGAGCTACGTTGCATCGGCCACAGACGAGGCTTCATTGGGAACGACGAGCGTGTCTGTCCGAGGAGCACTTCCACACACCGTGAGCGCGGGGACGCCATGCCAGGTACGTGCGCGCGTGTGGCCGTGTGTGTGCGGTCTCCCAGCGCTCTCCCCGCGGCCTCACAGCGGCCAGAGCGCCGCTAATCCCCGGGACAGCGCTTGTTTTGCAGAGCTGCTTCGGGGGATGCTGCCATGCTGTAGCTGTAGCCGCGGCTAGCTCCGCGGACACTTTGTTTGTCCGGAGCATCCGTCACAAGTGCACTTCTATCAGAGCCTGGCGCCTTGCCCCCTGCTCCACAGCGGCACATAACACCACAGCTTGACGTTTAACAGTGTTCTCATGTGTACAGTGCCATGTTTCACAGTGTAATGATGAAATGTGTGCGCTCAGTTTGGACTGGCGTCATCAAATCCAGCTTTACGTCCTTGGTCTCATGCCTTTGTTATTGTTGCTGTGATGGCTCCACTTTAGGCCTGTCCAATAACGGACTATTTCCACACGCTGTGAGCGAACTAGCCACTTAGCATTACCTCGGCCAAAGCCGTCCAATCCATTTAGCACGGGGGCGCAGGTGGGCCTGCAGGGCACCTGGGTTAGCCCGTTAGCTGCAGAGCAGTGCGGCTGGAGCCACGGCGGAGCCCCGTTACGTGCAGTTCTGACATTACATAATGTGTTCTGATTACGGAGGCGCTCGTCTGCTCGTGCAGCCGTCGTATGGATCAGGACTGTGATGCGTAAAGGAGCACGCTGTGGAACGCAAACTGACTCCTCACAACACAGGTGCGCACCACTGTCCCGCAGTGCAAAGGAGCAGGCCCAAACAGACCTGTTGAAATTAAAAGTATTGTTTTAACCCACTCTGTAGTGACGCAAACATTCCGAGCACCGCAGACAGGGTCATGTATACGGGCAGGTGAACGGGCAGTAATACCACATTTGTCTCATCTAGTGAGTCAGTCAGCCACACACGTTCAATAGCACCTGTGTGTTGGCCGTATACCAGGCAGGTGTCCTAATGGAAAACTCACTATTTCGATGATTTTATACAACTGGTGTATCAGTCATCAAAACAATCCCTCACATAAGTCGTGTTACTTAGTTTTAGCAGCACATTGTTGATTGAAAGCAAAATTATTATTATTATTGTTATTCATTTGTGCAGTCTGAGTTTTAGATAGAAATCTGTGCTTTCATGTTTGAATTTTGAACAGCAACATGTGAAGGGCCCATTTTTAAAAATGCCATGAGTTGGATCTAAAAGCTTAATTGACTAGGAGTGGGTGAAAAAAACAACAACTAGATTCTCTAAATGCCAGGTGATGTTTGGGTTTGATCAGTTCTGTAGACTTTTGAGTTCACTCTTCACTGTGATTGGTTAACTGTACATGTCAGTCACTCAGAGCCTGACAGAGGCTGATAGGAGGCATGTGTCTGGAGCTGGACAGAGGAAAGTGACTGAAACAGCACATCAGCAAAAGGATGAGCTCACAGTTGGGTGTTTATGACCATGTGTCCCACCCTATAATTGACTTGACTTTGTTTACCTTGTTAACTTCAACACATGACTCACTACACCTTTTTACTAAACCAGTGTTAACATTAAATGTTGCTAAAGATTTCCCAGTTTGACATTTTTAAGGTTTATAATTTGACTTCCTGATTGGAAATCATGACATCACATTTGGAAATTCCATCACACTAGGATGTTCTCTGTGTTCCACTGTTGGGTGCTGTGTTGTGTGCATGCTGTACACTGGACCAAAACTCCTCTAAAGTACACGGAGAATATTTGACCCATCAAAAAAATACTTTGTTGAAGTAATGTTTAAAGAAAAAAATGTGCTCCTTGTGCCTAACTTGTTTGAATGAAATTCTGAGTCTCTCTTGTGTGATGTTGTAAATTTCAGAACTCACCCACTTCCTCTTTTTTTTTTTTTTTTTTTTTTTTTCTTCCAACATACTAGTCCATAGGTGGCTTACCTTTTGTGTGTGTAGTGTCAATGAATCTTCTGGACATCTGTCCAGTCAGCAGCCTTCCCCATGATTATGTAGCTCTCTGACCCAGACTCAGAAACCATTTAAAGGCTCTGGAAACCTTTACAGTATGACACCATGATTTCCTAATATTTAACTTTTTCACAATATTCTAATTTTCTTAGTTTTTTCATTATCTACATAAATGGTGACAAACTCTTGAAATATTTCTCACTGTGTCTGACTTTGTATAATATTTGTGTTTTACTTTCTGAAATTAAATGAATATCATATCATGATATTCAATTTTTTTTTGCAATAGACTAGTGTTTTTCAACTTTTCTTTACAAATTTGAAGATTTTTGTAAAACTATCATTTATATTTAGAACAGGTGTCATTCTACCAAATGAAGTCAATGTGATCAAATCATAAAGGACTGTTCCAGGCCTTTGGTTGGACAGCTGTTGACACGCCTCTCTGCTCTACTGACCCAGAAAAACCAGCACTCGAGCATTTTCAGAATGCAGACTTTAAGACTAAACAAAATGATCCAAACAAGGTAAAAGTGTCAATACCTTGATACTAATTGCACTAAAGTCAGTCAAAATGGGGGTGGCTCACATAATTAGGATTGGGCCATGTGGTCAAAAAATGAAATTATAAGAATGATTACTTTTTTGGCACACTTTGGTGATTTTGCAAGCATATTTTTAAAGTTTTAATGGAAGTCATTAGTGACTCTTTAAAACTAAAACATTGTCTGGCACCTTTTTAAACGCCTTTGTCTACAGGCAGTTTGCCCTACAGTCTGTTTTCATTGTGAATCCCCCCAGCATTAGTATTTGTAACTATTATATATTTTTTTATATTTGAATTCTCTTCATATGAAAAAGTGACTCACATAGGGGCAAAAATAGCTTACTTAATGTTTGTCCACTGAACTGAAGGTTGGTGGTTCAAATCCTGATCTTGATATAAACATCAAAAAAGTGGTCAGATCCCACAGGTGAATACTGTCGTTGTGTTCTTGGACAAGACACTTGCCTCCAGTGTCTTTATACACTGGTGTATGAATGTGAATGTGTGTGAATGGGTGAGTGATTCCTTGATATAATATTGGCTCAGCCGATATCCCGCTTGGGCATTTAATGTGATTTCCTATTTCTCGCTGTCTCTCGCTGTCTCTCGCTGTCTCTCGCTGTCTCTCGCTGTCTCTCGCTGTCTCTCGCTGTCTCTCGCTGTCTCCCCATGTCTCCCCATGTCTCCCCATGCTGGAGGCAGGCTATGACTCAGTAGCCTCAGCAGTAGGATTGTCAGCACAGCACTTTGGAACTCCCTGAACCGCCTCGTGGGCCTGCCTGTGGGCCCGTCTGTCATCCTGATTCTTTAGGGTACAAGTCCAGTGTCAGGAACACATGTGGAGCACAAGACACAGAATGTTGTTTTTTAAAGGACACTAAAAGTCAGATTGGTCTTATGTTATTGGAATTAACTCTGAAAGGCTTTCAGTTTATTTTTAAGAAAAAATTATATTTGACCAAATGCTTTTTTGCCATATCCCCCAGCCCTAAAGGCACATACCGCACAAAGCCAGTGTAATATATTTTAAAATTATTAAAATATTGAATATTGTGTCCTGTAGGTCTATTCTCTGCATGAGATCTTCTGGTCTAAACTACAGGCTACAGCAGCTTTGACACACAGTAACTTGTTCTTTAGTTTGTGCTTCTGCTGTGTAGCTTAAAGAACTTGTCCTGTAATGTCTGTGATGTGTTGTGATGTGTTGTGATGCAGAGCCAGCTGAGATGAGTGGTCCTGAGGTGGCCAAGACACCAGGAGGAGGGGCCCCAGGGAAGGAGGGGAAAGAGCCAGTGGCCAATGGGCACGCAGGAGATGGCAACGACGCCAACCCCTTTGCTGAGTACATGTGGATGGAGAACGAGGAGGAGTATAACAGACAGGTGGGTCCCTGTGATGTCACCAGGCCCCGGGGCCAGGGCCCTACCACTTATTTTGATTAGCTGTGTCTTGCATGATGATCTTGAGGTTTTTTTCACACATTCCTGCGCTCTGTGAAGCGACCCAGTGGCACTAAATTTGCTGTTTTACTGATTTGACTGTTGGCCCTTTGTCACATGCAGCACATCACACCAAACTCTCACCAGACTGAGCGCTCACAGCAGGAGAGCTCCAGATGCCCTGCTCTGCTCACAGCGTTTACACACAGTGTGAACTGGCCTAAGCTCTGGGATCAGAAGCTCTTGTACGTCACCCTAACTCAGCTGTGTGCAAACGCTTTGCACTGAGGGAAGCATATTGAAACAGAGCAGAAGATCACAGATTGTTGTTACAGTGAAGCATTCAGATGAATGTATTTAAAGAGCTTTGACAGACTTATTGTACTTTTAATGAGCACACAGTTTACATCTGTATCACAATGTAACATGCTGCTGTTGAGGGAATCGTGCTAGAATTACCCATGATCATTTGAGCCAATTCAGCAGGAAGTCTGATGGCCAACAAACCTTTTTGGCCCCTGGCCCATAGTTTGGACACCTGTGACCTCTGACCTAACCATTGTCCTAAGTACAGTTGCCATGAGTTAGGCTAATGCTGCTTCCTGTGTAGTGTGCAGATGCTACACATCAGTCTCTTACTGCCACACCTCCACTCATAGTTAAATGTGTACATGAACCTAACCCAGTGTGTGTGTTCCTTAGGTGGAGGAGGAGCTGCTGGAGCAGGAGTTCTTGGAGCGTTGTTTTCAGGAGATGTTAGAGGAGGAGGACCAGGACTGGTTCATTCCCTCACGTGACCTCAACAACGCGGGAGTGGGCCAGCTGCAGCAGCAGCTCAACGGGCTGTCGGTGAGCGAGCAGCACAGCAGCCCGGAGGAGGTGGCGGTGAGTGCTTCCTAACACAAGCTTTAACATTAGCTCAAAGCCGAATGGGACCATGTCTGACACTGTGTGTCTCTGCAGAGGAAGAGCGTGTTGAACCCTGAAGCCAAGGAGTTTGTCCCGGGGAAGAAGTACTAGAAGTCCCCCTCACCCCCGTGGAGCCGCACACGTGCACATTCACAAGCACACACACACACACACTCACACACTCGTACACTCGTACACGTGCACTCGCACTCTCACAGTGTCATATTCTCAGAGACTCTGTCGGCTATGCCGCACTCACTGACCACACGGGGGCGTGTGGGCCCAGTTGGGGGGTGGGGGGACTGCTCTTTCTGTTTTTTTTTTCTCTTTTTATTTTCTGTTATTTTCTTGTAAACTGAGGGGTGTTGGGGTAAGGGGTGGGGGGAGTATTACCAGCACCGCCCTGGTGAGGGCGCTAGCTCATCCTTTCAGCAGATAAGGCACACAGAACTCAATGTCCCCTTTTAAACTAAGGCAGCTACCAGCGGCGTGATGTCAGGGAAGTCCTCAGACACAAGCCCACGTCCGACTATGGTCTCCAGCAGAGTCAGAGTGCTTTAGAGGAGCCTCTGAGTTCTGTGTGTGCCCTGCTCTGCTCACAGCCACACACAGGCAGAGCTCCAACCCAACACACCGCTAATCATGGAATACATCTGCAGGTGCATTATGGGATCAGGTGAAGGGTCAGGTTTTGGGACTTAGACCTTGACTGGGGTGGTTTGATAGGGATTGGAGCTCTGTGCTGTGCTCTGCAGAGACCACTTGGTGTTTCCAGTATTCGACCAAGAGTCCGTATCTGATCAGGTTTTCACAGTTTCCTCATGTTTTGGAGGACGAGGTGTGCGTGTCTCTGTTGGTACAGTAACCCAGAGTCCTTCAGCACTTCCAGGACACTCTGATGAGCTCTGAGCTTTCATTGGGCTGGAACAGTCAGACATGCCTCCTGTAAGTCAGACACAGCTTGTCTGTAAGGTCATGTGTAGGTTCACATTTTTTGGGTGAAGTTAGTCTATATTTTTAGTTGACAGTGCTGAGTGGTAAATTCTGCTCAAAGATGCACTGAGCATGTGCAGTGGGGGCTGGAGTGAGCAGAGCCTCCTGAAGCTGCTGAGTGACCCCTGGTGAAGCCAACTGGAATGTCCGCCAGGTGGATATGTACAACATGGAATCATTTTGTGATTTAGTTTTGTTAGTGACCCAAGAGTCCGAGGTCCAGAGACACAGAGTATGAATTTCATTACAATAAAACCATGAAAAAAATATCAATAAAGTTGTTAAAGACAAAGCGGTCTGTGAGTGACTTCATGTTCTGTTCTGATCTCTGTATGGTTTCTGTCAATATTTTATTTTGCATCTATAAAATCAAAACGCATTTCAACTGCACACAGGTAACAAGTATATGACATCAGTCATTTGGCACTTCTGGAAGAATTCTTTAAAAAAAAAAGGAAACTTCTCTGTCATCAATACTCTAAACTTCATCCAAAATGCAGAGTTTATGCACAACAAACACTATTTTTCTATTGTTTGTAGTATTGTTTTGGCTGGTGGATTTGCCTGTGCATGTCCAACCAGGAAGTCAACTTTCAGAATCCTGCTGTATCAATGATTTTCAGATTTTAATAGCCAACAGCAAAGTAGATTTTGAAATATTTGATCAAAATATAATAATATTTATGTTGAAGAAAGCTGAAATGTTGTAATAGAAAATACATCAACACTTGCACTGTAATATGGAATGTGTTATTGAAAATGTATACATCTCACAGTGAGATGTGTGTGTACTCTGTACAGTCTGTTTGATTTTTAGTGCTCACAAATTGCAGAATTTTGCCATTATGTTTAAGTTTCCATATTGAAAGTGACAGAGTTTGGGCTGAAGTCCATGTGTGGACAGATGTGTATTGTTGAAACAAGGTGAATTCACTGCTCATGTGTTTGTGAATGAGAGCTGTGCAGTGTTCTGAGAAAGTCCCAGAAATGTTTGCCTGGAGAAATCCAAACTCATCTATATAACAGTTACAGAGAAATATCCTTCTGGATTTCCAGCCAAGAGAACTGTGTGAATTTATGAGAAATATTCCAGATGATTTGGCCACCTGAGCCGCTGTTCAGATACATGTTTGAATCAAATAATAAAACTAAACAAAGATTCAAAAAATTGCTTAAAACGACTGGAAAAAAACAAAACAAAACAAACTGTAACGCTGCACCTTGCGCCCTCTGTTGGTGCGTGGATAAAACGGGTTCTATTCTGAAGCTCAGACAATCACGACGCAGCCTGTGCGCCACTCGACAGGGATTGGTTTAGACCCAGGAGGACCCCGCCCCTGTTCCGCATCCCGAGCGTGGAGTGGCCCCGAAGCTCCAGGGGCGGGCCCGGGGACTGGCGCAGGGGACACACCGTGACGCGCGCACCGTGGATTGGGCTCACAAACGCGGTGTCGTGCCTCCTGACGTGAGCGAGCGAGGGACAAAAACAGGAAGTGTGAGATGGCAGAGGTATTCGGCGGAGTAGAAGGGTAAGACTTTTCAAATATTTCGACCTCAAAGTCCTGGGTTAGACTGGTTCTGTCTGCGCCTGGACCGTGGCGTTGCGCTCTGGACTTTTAGCGCGGTTTATGGGAAGTACAGAAGAGTCTCGGATCCGCACACTTCCCGGTCTCTGTCCCGTGATCAGGCTCCGAGAGAAACTGTCTCTGCTCACGCCTTGCTATTCACAATCGTTCCGGTTCTTTTGGGTCCCTGATAATACTATTTGTAAAGAGAATCTGTGCTGCTCAGTACAGTGATGCCCAGGCCACACTGGGCTAAACTGAGCCACTCATTAAATCTGCTAAACTCTACGATTATATAAGCATATGAACTTATACCCTGAAAGTATACTAAATCAGTTCATAAATGAATCAAATAATACAACTGGAAAACTGGAAACAAATATTTGTTTATTACAACATTTGAAAAAAACTATTTTTTATTTAGAGCCGTTTTGGGTCAGTTTGCAAGATATATATTAACAGATAAAGCACATTTCTTTCCATAAAAATAATATAACAATAATAATAATAAAATGTATCCAAAAAAGTCACTTTGGGGTAAGATGAGCCAGGGGCGGTTGGTAAAGTTGATTCACTCCTGCTTCCATTAATAAACAATGGCAGGAGAATGAAAACTACATTTGTAAATAAATGAATACATTTATAGTGTGTACCAGTCAAAGGGTCCACTATTACTCTACCTTCTGATCTGTCCTAATGTAGTTTCCTCTTCACAGACACTTTGGTTTCATTTCATTCACACGTTTAAAACGCAAACCCTGCACACGTTCTTCTCACCAACAAACTCCTACTCATCACACCTAGTGATGTCATGTAGTAATACAGGAAGTGCTCCATTGTGTTTTTAAACCCCATACACCTTGACTAGAATAATTATGATAATTTCAGCCCCATTATTGTCGTTCTCTACTGAACTAAATGTAAAACTGTTCTCTTGAAAACCACCACTTCAAGGTGGAACAGAGCATTTTGAGCTTTAGAGATGCAGACAGATTAATAATACTCAATACTTAATTACGCAAACATGTGAATGAAACAAAATTCCGGGCATATATTTGAGGAGGTCACAGCATTATAACGAGGTTTAAAGTTTACAAGAGTCAGTTTGATGTACTATAGAACCTTTAACATGAAGTGTTTGAGTTTGGTGAACACAAGTTAATTGAAATGTTATGATGTTTAGATGTTCATGTGTATCTTTTAGGTAAACAGTTCTCTGGTTAGGTTATTTTTCTGTATAAAATCTCACCTACCTCACAGACACTTGAAAATTACAAATAAAAATGTTATTAGTTTGGTCCACAGGTCAGGCTTCAATCTGGTGATTCAATTTACCCATAACCTGACCAAAAACCTTTTTTTTATTTTGAATGCCAGTTTCTTTAAAACTATGTGTCACAGAGTGTTTGACATGGCAATTCTCCATAAATATACAAAAAACAAAAACAAAACATGATACAAACCTGTACACAGCAACTTCACAAACTTTAATGCAATGTGCAGTCGTTTCATTAGCGGGATGCACGCTGTGTGTGACAGCGCTCTGAAGGGGCAGTGACTTAACATGGAGGGCAAAGGGAGGAGGGGCTCAGAGCACCAAAAACTTGTGAAATTAAAAAATAAATATGTTATGTGTTAGCAGTGAATGCCCCAGACAAGTAAAATACTCCCATTTTAGACACAGGCACAGACAGTACAGCTTTCATGTTTTTCTCATTCTGACTGGGTTTAGTGGACAGTACCTGCGGTCAATACTCCTCACAGTTTTACATCAGTTAAGTGGAGGCTTGTGGGAGAACGTTGAGAGGAAATGTACAAAAATACATTAAGCAGCAGTGAATTGTAAAATCAAGTCGTTCTAACCTATGTCATCAACACGGAAAAATCTGTCCAAAATACAAAAACAATTTATGCACAAGGAAGGACTTTTTCTGACAGCATGCATTTAAATAAATAAAGATGTTGTCATTTATTTTTTTTATAATTCCAGTCATAACTGTTCTGCAATTAAAGTTTTGGCCCTTTTACATTATGGTTGTTAGGTAACAGTTATTAAATTACCTCTGCATATGTCATATCTGCTGCCCATGTGCAAAAAGTCCCTTTGCTCTCGACATTAAAGGGATAATTCTGTTTTTTTTTGCATGAATCTGTATGGCATCCCCGTCAGTGTTGTGCATCCACACTGACTTACCCCCCGACAGTGTCCGATGAGCTGAGATACTGGCCGGTTTTGGTGCTGATGAAAGTAGTCCGGCAAGTTGGCTGGGGACAGTATAATAAAGTGATTTTCTTCTCAAAGCAATCTGTGTTCAAAAGAGTGACACGAGTGATACGAACGGAGAAAAAATAGTGCCAAGCAATGTTGAGGTGTAACTTTTTTGTTGGCAGATGTTTTGTGATGCAAATACATCACTCTTTTGAACACAGATTGTTTTGAGAAGTAAAGCACTTTATTTTAATATCCCCAGCCAACTTGCTGGACTACTTTCATCACCATCAAAACCAGGCAGGAACTCGGCTCATCGGAAACAGATTCATGTCAAAGACACGAACTATCCCTTTAAGTCACTCCCCCTTCAGAGCACATTCACAACACAATCAGTATACATCCCACTAATGAAACTACTGCATTTTGCATTAGTTTTGTGAAGTTGTTGTGTACAATTTTGTATCTTGTTTTTGTACATTTATGGAGAATTGTTGAGTGGGAGCATGAGTGATGTAGATTTGAGGGTGGAGTCTTGTACAGGCTCGTACTGCTAACTAGGGGTGGGCGATATATTGATATTTTAAATATATCGAGATGAATTCTGACATATCGTATATATCGATATAATGCTTATATTCAATTTAGATTTCGCCCCCTCGCTTGTTTACCTTCTCTCTCGTCGCCTCTGCCTCCCTCATTTTGTTCGCTCGTGTCTCCTTCACTTCTCACTACCGCCGTAAACGCCGAAAGTTGGTGCCAGTGAAAAGCTTCAAGCACCACGAACCTTTTCCACCATTTACAGACAAAACCATCAGCAGCACATCCTTATATTCCACCGAGTCGCGTCCATTAGTCCAAAACAAGCTAAACGAGCTGAGCTGCATGAGAAGTGCTGTTTATGCAAATGAGCCATGCGCTTAAGTTTCGTTTCTGTAAAATGTAAACACACGTGCGCAAAACTGCATTAAACACATTATTATCGCAAACAGGCTGATGTGGCTCTGGAGTCGTTATGCTTTGTTTGTTGTAAAGTGTATTTATGCAGAAGATTTTAATGAATAATCTGCTGCAGTGTAACTTGTACAATAGTGTTTGGAAACGTTGGGTTTGATCTGCAGTGGATTGTGGGATTAAACTTCAGAGCTCCTGACGCTGGATAATAACATGGATCTATTAAAATAAGAAACATCCTGAGCTGCTTCTGCTAAAAGAGCTCATGGTTCTGGTTCTGGTCTGGATAGCAGGGTTAATGCAAAGATGAGCTTGTGTTGAGTTGTTTTATTTATGAATGAAAAGAAGGAAATATGTATTATTTCTTTTATTTTACAGTAAAATTATTATTTATGTAATTAGGGTTGTTGTAATCTTAAATGTTCCTATATGAACTGTGGACCTCTAACACTTCAATAAAAAAAAAAAGACCTTGGGGAATTTGGCAGATTTGTTTTTGCAGTTTTCAGTTTTAGGAGGTTATTTTTTTCTTGAACATATATCGAGATATATATCGTATATCGAGATATAGCAAAATATATCGAGATATATTTTTTGATCCATATCACCCAACCCTACTGCCAACCATGAGGAGGATGAAAGTAAGGCCTGGGAAAAATCACTAAAATACTCAAACATGCATGGAAGGCATCTAAAACTTCTTCAAGCATGTTTTGGATGAGTGAACATTATAAAATGGTAGAAAGCTAAAAAAAAATCTGTTTAGCATAATACTCCCTCTTTAACCCAAATACAAAAAAAAAATTGAAAAAGAGACACTGTTTTTAGTAATTCTCAAATATAATGGTGTGAACTGTGTTTTTGTGAAATGAGTAGTCTAACCTTCTTGCTCTTCTTGCTCCTCTCCTGTGTGACTTTTGTGCTTGTGTGCAGGGGGGGCAGTCACTCAGTGGCTCTGCTTGTCTCTGGAGATGGTCGGATCCTGTCTGAGACCCAGGGACCCTGCAGTAACCACTGGGTCTGTTTATACACGGAGCTTTTCTATAGACACTGCGTTTACATACATGCCAAAAAAAAACAAAAACACACACAACTGGCCTAGTCCAATTTAAACTGATTTGTGGAAATGTATGTGAACCAGGGAACTATGATTGAGGTGTCATGAATCGCCTCACCTATTGAAAACCTCTGGTCTATGGCATCAACTAGTTGGTTTCAAGGAGGCGTGGTCAGAGTGAGCAACCTGCTGACCACACCCACAGGAAGTAACAACAGCTGGTATATAACCATAAACTGTATAAAGAAGTGGACTAAGTGAGTGTGACGTCACCCACAGCATTCAGCTCCACTCAAATGAAGCTTGTGATAGTTACAGGGGCGAATTTGGAGCCAGGCCCTATGTCATGAATAGGATTTTTTTAATGGGCAAGATTATAGTAAAAAAAACAGGATCATGTAGAGCAGGTTAGTATGAACATTTTAAGACCAGATGACGACGCTCACTACAGCAGTCACAGTCAATGGGTGACAGGGTAAGAAAGAGCCGATGTGCTGTCGAAATGGGCTGCCTCATCAAAATAAGCTACCTGCAATCAACCTTAAATCAACAGTGACATCTATTGATTCGCCCTGTCAAAAAAAAGCAACCTTACGGTCTTTCTGTTTACAGTTGTATAGATCCACTAAAGCCAAACCCTGACCCTGACCTCCCCAGTTTGACACATATTTCTTTGGATTAGTGACGTGAGTTTGATGCTGTTTGCACACGGTGATCACACTGTATACCTTAGTTATTTCAAATTTCAACTCATTTATATGAATGTGTGTAGTTCATTTGGACAGTTGTATTCTGCTCAAATAGGCTCTGACTAAAGGAGCACAGATCCACAGGACAATTTAATCATTGAATAATGTCCCACTGTAGAATCCCCATTATTCACTCATTTAGATGAATTTGGGTAGAGAAGGTGAATCTTGACTATATCTTCTGTGAAATAATGCACCACTAGAGGGCGCACACCTCACCATTGTGATAGAGGGGACATTGAAGTTGGGCAATTCCATGCAATTCAGTTTTATTTTAGAGCCAATAACAATGGACTTGTCTCTTAATCAAGATGGATGAGGACAGAAAAAGGGACAACAGAAGAAACATAACAAACATTTATTTCAAAAATACGTACACACGATTCAGGGAGGGAAATTGATCCCATCCCATTTATCCCGTCACTGTTAGCTATGCCCATTCATATATAAAGTCTATGTATATGACATGTCACCACCAACGTCAGTGACAGTTCTGACTATGGCAGTTAGCAGCCGAACATGTCAACGTAAACACATCTCACTTCTAAGTTATTTGATTCAAAGAAACACTTGTCATACTTGAAGTAAGAAACTTGTACTTTACAGAAGTAGAGTGGGTCATGTCTCCTCCTCCTCTCTATGTTTGTGCAGTTGGTGGGTGCAGACCAGTGCATCCAGGTGATCCACGACATGGTTCAGAAGGCCAAGACTGAAGCCGGACTAGATCCCCACACACCCCTGCGCTCCCTGGTAACACTCACTCCTGCTAGAGCCGAGGGCAGACTAGAGGGACTCAAGCTATATCACTCTATTAATAATAGAATAACAACAAGCTCAAAGACATGCACAGAGAATGGTCTGGGAATGTAAAGGAGGCATATGCAAAATCTCAGATACAAGATTAATATGTTTTTGTCATTAAGAATAAATATGAACATCAGACATGATGGCCAAGTTTACATTATGATTTGGTGTTTTTCTCAAGATGATTATCCATTCATAAAGCAGAGTGAGCCTCACATGACTCTTATTTACATTGCCAGTTCCAATGCTGAAATCCAGTGTGTTTAAACCTAAAATGTCTCTCTCTGATCTGAATGGTCTCTACCTTATGACGGAGTATAAGGGTCAGATAAAAAAAAAAAAAAAAAAAGATGCTGGCGCTAACATTTTGACATTAAAGTCGTAATATTATGACAATAAAGTTGAAGCCAGAAAAAGTCGCAATTTTACGAGAATAAAGTCATAATAAAATCAAAGTCAAAGTGAAAAATGCGGCAGAAGAAGAACCTTGTTTTTCAATATAAAACCAAAAATAAGAAAACAAACAACAATTTTCTTCATTATTTGTGCCTCTGGACTGAACCAAGACTAACCAGGACTGAACCAGGACTAAACCAGGACTGAACCAGGACTGAACCAGGACTGAACCAGGACTGAACCAGGACTAAACCAGGACTAAACCAGGACTAAACGAGGTCCGGGACCAGACCGGGTCTGAGACCAGGATTGAGACCGGGAACAAGACCAGGACTGAAAACCATTTAGTCTTAGTTTAGTACTGATTCAGTACTGGTTCAGTCCTGGCAGTCCGTATGCGGCACAATAGTCACGCATCGCATTTTAAAGTCATGGAAACGCCATTTCCCATTTCCGTGACTTAAACCAGGACTAAACCAGGATTAAACTGTTTTCAGTCTTGGTCTGGTCCCGGTCTCAATCCTGGTCTTAGTTCTGGTTTGGTTCCGGACCTGATTTAGTCCTGAATCAGTACTTTTTCAGTCGAATGAATGAATGATACATGGATTCTTCTCCTTTACAAAATGCTCTAAATTCTCCATTCTCCACTCATTCATACTTTCCGAGCAGCCGATATTCTCGTAATATTACGACTTTATTCTAGTAAAATTATGACTTTATTCTCGTAAAAATTACGACTTTTTCTGGCTTCGACTTTATTCTCATAATATTATGACTTTAATGTCGAAATGTTACGACTTTATTCTCATAGCGCCAGCATTTATAATTTTTTTTAATCTGACCCTTATACTCCGTCGTACTACCTAAACCTGACAACCTGCTCTAATCCTGAGTCAGTGTTAGTGCAGCCTCTGCACCTTAGGGAGGGAATTCTAGAGGTTCTGAGCTTCACATGAGGCCTGTCCATAAACTGAGAATGTGACACATTTGGATGTGTCTCTAGCTGCAGGTTCAGTTGTGATTGTAGTTTTGTAAAACTGTAGTATACAACACGGTTCCTTTAAGCTGTGTATCGTTTGTTAATGCTTCCTGGTTTTGCCTCATTATTAGCTTACTCTGAGTTGTATTTTGAGTAGGGCTGTAATCGAAATCGGAATAATCTTGATTAATTGACTCTTCAACTAATGGTTGGTTATTTTAACTGTGATGTGAATAAAAAATGGAATTCTAATTTAAACAATTCAAATAAGATGATGTATCTATACAGATGTAATTAAAGGCAGTTTACAATGTATTAAACAATAGCATATGATAAAAATGGAAGCGTATAGGGCTTCCTCTGTTTGAAAGAGCAGTCATTGCTCTGACTCTGAAGTGTGTGCATGTGTGTGCTTGTGTGTGTGCGCAGGGCATGTCCCTGAGCGGAGGTGAGCAGAAGGAGGCCATTGACAAACTCATCCAGGACATGAAGGAACGCTTCCCCAGCCTCAGCCAGCACTACCTGATCACCACAGACGCCGTGGGAGCCATTGCTACAGCAAGTGACAAGGGTCAGACTTTTCCCCTCTGTCCTCTGTCTGAGGGAACTTCAGGGCTGTAGTGCTCACCGCTCAAATACTGGCTTCACATTAGTTTTCCCAGTTCGACAGTTTTACTAAAGTTTTTACTTCCTGGTTAGACATGTGCCACAGATGTGACTTAGGCCCTGTACCAATACCACACTGCACACTGCACACGACACACGACACACGGCACACGACACACGACACACGACACACGACACACGACACACTACTAGAGCCCGACCAATATGGATTTTGTTGTGGCCGATATGAAACCGATATAATGGGAGTTGTGAGCTGCCGATAGCCGATATAATCGCCGATATATTTAGTGATGTAAAAATTCACTGTAAATGTTGAATGGTTTAAAAAACTTAGGTTTGGCTCTGGTGGATTTAAAATGGGTTTATTTAGGCAACATTTATTGTTATTCTGCCTCTTTATGTCATATTTACAGACAGTAGGTTGGTTTAATGGCATTTTTGCATCACATTCTACACACTAGTGATGGGTATTCCAATTCTTTTTAGAGAACCGGCTCTTTTGGCTTGGCTCACTAAAACCTGCTGGTTCTTTTGGCTCCCAAGCAGCTCTTCAGATTGTTTTGCTGCAAGCAGGTCTAAAGCACGTCTAAAGCAGGACTGAATTAGGACTGAACCAGGTCTAAACCAGGACTGAAAAAGGACTAAACCAGGACTAAGGTCGTTTTCACACCGCTAGTTCGATTATTTGGTCCGTACCAGGCAATAAAATTGTTATTATGTAGCAAATACACTCCAGTGTGGTCTGCGTTCACACGGCAAACGAACCAAAACTGGTTCGATTGACGTGTCTCTGTTTCCCCGGTAAAACAGCGATACTCCAGTTATCAACACCGATGTTCCTGTTAATACCGCGGGCCGTCCTCATCTCAAATTATCACCATGAACTCATAAAACAGCAACATGTAGAACTTTGTACAAACTCACCGCATCAGCCCAGAGTTCGGGTAACAGCAGCAGCCAACAGCTCCTCAGGACGGGGCTGGGGTCTGGTCCTTGGTCTTCTGTTACAAGTTCGTTGGTCAGATGGTCCGGAGGCTCTGTCCTCCATGTGCTGGTTCCAAACGGTGGCGAGCAAGACCAGTGCTTGATGGACTGAGTCCGAGCGGGTACGTTCCGTCGTCTGCGCACTGTTTCCGTGCGGGAAAGCAAGAATGCGCTGTGGACTACAGGTCCGGGCGCACTGCTCCGGTTCTCCGCGCTCAAGAACCGCGGCTGGTTCCAAGGTGGTACAGCATCCGGACAGAAGCGTGAGTCCAGTTTGGTTTGTTATATGTTGTTCTGAGCGTCCGTCCTCCGCGCATTTGGTTCTTCCCGGGGAAAGTTCTTCCTCAGGTCGAGGCTCCCCGCTCCAGCTCCTCTGAGCCCGGCCTGAACTGGAGCTGCCCCCGCTGGTTCGGGACTCTGGTTTGGATCTAGTCCGACTGTATTCCTCACACTAGGCTAAAAACAGGGACTTTTTTAAGTTGTATCAATTGAATGGGCGATTGCCTATTGCCATGAAATTATTTGGTTAATTAAAGCCTAAAATAACAAATGTTGGTTGCTGCGTGATCACGGGGAACACCGGGTCGTCTCTGTGCGTGTAGGTCCCGAACAGGGGTACGCACCCCCAATTTTGACTCACTCTGGAGCCACACGTTCGCACACTGATACTTGCTCTGATCTTCGTGTGTTACATTCTCTGTATTGGCCATTGTTGGTAAAATAATTCGAAAATGAATCCCGGCTGCGTCTGGACAACAATCTGTTACTGCGCTGGAGTCGTACAGCGTCATTTCAGGCAGAGGAGACGCGTGTCCCTCCCATGATGCATTTGGAATAGTCCGTTTGTCCATACTGTCTATGTTCGCGTTCACACCAGAGGAACCGCACCAAAGTTGGTCATTTGGTGCGGATTCCAGCGAACCGAGACCACCTCTTTTTTGCGGTCTCGGTCCGCTTGATTTGGTTCGGGTCCGAGTCCGATTGACGCTTTCACACCAACGCAACTAACGAACTAACCACTTTTGGTTCGAATGGACCGTTTGGTGCGCACCAAATACTGTCGGTGTGAAAACACCCTAAAACAGATCTAGACCATGTGTAAACAGGACTAAACCAAAACTGAACCAGGACTGAGTGTTGGGACTCGGTCTCTATCTCGTGCCCAAGATTAGTCCTGGTTTATTTATTTTATGCTAAACTACAGCCAAATATGCTCTTTAAAAAAAAATTGTATCCTATGTACACGCAAATTTCTCAAAGTTTCGTTTTCAGCCGCTGCCGTTGTCAAACTACCACGAGTCTGCACGCGGCGTGAAGAGAAAAAAAGTGAGAGAAAGAGAAAACACGACTCCCAATAAGAATCAGGCTCCCGTCGTTTGCTTCAAAGAGCCGGCTCTAAGAGCCGTTTCATTCGCGACTGATCCCATAACTAGTAAAGAACCTAGCGCTATTAGCCTTTAGCCGTAAATACGTGCGCGCCGCGGTAATTAATTATATGTGCAAATGTCATAATTCACACGTCTGTTCACAGCTCATTTACATATCAGTGCAGGTCCAGTAGCAAATATACAGCCAATGTAGTCAATTTACAATAGACCAATAGAAAACAGCCTGATTATGTGCGTGAGCTACAGCAGCTAACCCATAACAAATGACAAAAACTAGCTTCAGAGTCGACATATTTCCAACACTCAGCGCTCACACAGGCTCCTCCTCACATCACAAATCTGCACTAATAAATGTCCTTTTAATCCAGACTCAAACTGATTGTCCGTACAAAGAAAATAATCTCAGTGTTTGGATCTGTTTCTGCAGGTGTAAACAAACACACGTGAGTGTCGCGACTCTGTGGTGTGTTCAGGGACAGTACGGACACACACACACAGACAAATGACTCCACAGATAAATACTGATGTGGAGCCACATATTCGGACATTTATCTGTCTGTAAATTGGATTAAATGAACAGAACGTAGAGAATCTAAGATTTATAATGACGTATCACATGCCCACGTGAATTATCGGCCCCTATCAGCAAACATATCGGCCGATAGCCGATATGCCTCCAGGTGCCCATATCAGCCGATAATATCGGCCAACCGATATATCGGTCGGGCTCTACACACTACCTACTACACATTGAAGTGTGTATTTTCTGAGACTAGGGACAGTCCGCACTTCAGATGACTAATAATAATAATAATAATAATAATAATAATGTCTAGTGAGCGTACAGTTCATTTCATCAGCCACAGCTTGTAGGTCTGTTTTAATCATTTGCTGAATTGGCCATAACCAAGTAAGATGTGTGTTGTTTTTACAGAGCTGTGTTCTGTACAGTCCGAGTATTTGCTTCAAAGATTATTCGTAAAGCCATATCTTTCCATTGTATTCAGTTAGCACTCGCTGCTAGGTTGCTAATTCTTTGCTATGGTCTGAGCACTGTGCTGTTTGACAACATTCCAGTCAAATACATTGTGGACAATACACGTGCCTGAAGTCTGTACGGCTTCACACTCGCTGACGTGCAGAGAGAGTGGTATGGTGAAGAAGGAATCAAAACATTTGAAAGAACCGGAACCCTGCACGTTTGTCGTGAACATGCATCTGAAGTACACGTGTGTGAGTGTTGGGTCAGGGCCATAGTCTACTCTGAGACTATTCCAGTTCTGTTACCAAGAAACCATACTGTAAGAAAGGGTCAGGCGTGAACTAGAGATGAGACATGATTTTCGAATAGTCGAATATTCATTATACGTTTGAATATCGAATAGTAATTTCGAATAAAGACATTTCCTAACCAATATTTCATGTACGGCATTCGGCCAGAAGGTGGCGCTAACAGACTGTAAAACTCCCTGTAGGCGCAATAGACTAGGCCGAGTGTAGAGGCTGCTCCGGAATAACAGAAGAAGAAAACTTACCGCGCGGCATTAGCAATGCAGAAAGCAAGTAAAAGTTCCGTATGGTCGTCATTTACTTTGTTAAATGACAAAGAGGTTCAGTGTAAAATCTGTCAGGTGAAGCTAGCATACCATAGATCAACCACTACCATGCAGAGCCATCTGAGAGCGACACACGCCGAAACACGGGAACATGCACAAATGAACTCAGTACTGCCAGGAGATATGCCCCCCCCTCCACACTGACCCGATGACATGGTGGAAAAGAAACAAACAGAAATACCCCCGATTGGCAAAGTTAGCGAGCGCTTACTTAGGTGTGTCTGCGACGTCCGTGCCATCGGAGCGAGTGTTCTCTGCAGTGGGCAGCTCAATGAAAGTAGCGCAGTGGGCTACAGTATGTGCAGTGGGCTACAGTATGTGCTTGGTCATGCGTTTTTAAAATTGATATAGCCTTGAATATAATTTCATATTGTTTCATATGTGGGTTGCTCAATTAAGATGTTAATTTCTGATTTGGAAGGTTGTTGTTTGATTAAACCTTTTGCGCTTAAATACCCCGTCTGTCATCTCGTATATGCGTGTGTGTGTGTGTGTGCGGGTGTGGGAAGGGGGGGAGGGAGGGGTCGATTTTCGAATAATATTCGAATAGCTGTCATTGATTTTCGAATAGTGTTTTTGCCAAATATTCACATCCCTAGTGTGAACTAGCATGAGCATGATTAGGCGATTAATTGATAATTGATCATTAAGAATTTTATCGATTACGTTAATTTTAATCGACAAACCGAATGTAGGTTGCTGTGCGTAGCATGACCAAACAGGGGTCTGTACATGTGTCTCTCTGCACTCAGAAGGAGCAAGACACAAACGGTAGGTCAGTCTGCAACGTACTGAAGCACAAATGCGTATTTAACGATGACTTGTACAAGAAATTCCACGCTTTCCGTTGCGTTCGGGACAAGTGTGAGTCCATGAGCACAGTATATAAAGCAGCACATATGTTTCGGTGTCCAGAGGGAAAAAGTTTTGCCAGGTGAGAGTCGCGCAATGTCGAT